GATGGCGTCCACAGAGACCATCATGGGATCGAGGCCTGGGAAGATGCCCGGGCGTTGAGGTCAAAGAGATGGGGCGAGGCCCTGGGGAAGGCTGGGAAGGGCATTTCTGGGGGCCTGCAGGGGAGGGAGGGGTGGCCCTAGGAAGAGGTCCCCGGACGCTCAGGCCAGTGAGGCAGCCAGACACAGGCTGCATGGGCCCTCGGGAACAGTCGGGTTTCCCAGGTAGGATGGTCCCCAGAGCCTAGGCCAGCGCAGGGCAAGGAGCTCATTTAGTTTCTCCCTGGAGGCTGGGAGGAGTAGGGAAGTGGCCAGGAAGGGGAGGAAGCCATTTGCTCACAGAGGGGCCTCTGCTGGGCACCCGGGCGGCTCCCGCCGGGGACTCCTGGGGACTTGGAGAACGCAGCTCAAGGGGTGCACTGGGGCAAGGGAGCTGGGGTCGCAGGCACAGCCGGCTGGGAACGAGGAGCACCAGGGACTCAAGGCCCAGTTGCCCTGGCTGGAATCCGCGTCCCACCATGTGCCAGGCTGTAGGCGTGTGGAGGTGGCCGCTGGGTGGAGTGGAGCCGGAGGTCGGCAGGCACCGAGCTTTGCTGGACAGATTGCCCTGGAGATTTAATAGCGGGCCTGCTCCCCACCTCTCTCACACCTGGAAAATGTTTGCTGTTGTACAGGGGGGGGGCGGGGACAGGCCAGCACAGATATTCCCAAGCGTCCTGGAGGCCTTCTGGGAAGGAAGACAAGGAGCACAGGAAATGTCCAGTTGCTTCCTTTTCCAGAGGGTCATCTCAGAGATGTGAACCCCCAGACCTCATCTGACCACACTGAGGTCAATTTTCAATGGAGACAGTGCGGCCGTCCCATTAAGCCCACCCCACACGGGGGATTTTAGTGTTTAAGGTAGTTCAAAGGAGGGTTGAAAAAAATCCCTGGAAAAAACAAGCAGCATTTGTCACTATAGATTAAAAAGTCACTGCAAAGGCTGCAACCCCTTCCTGTCGGCAGCGCGGGGCTGGAAGCCTTCTATCACGTCCCAAATCCTCTCAGACTGGCGCTGTGAACTGCCACCACCTCCAGTGGGGAAGCTGAAGCTTACGGGAAGACTGCCCTGACTGACCCCTGCCCCAGCCTGTCTCCTGCCCCTGACTGACCCCAGCCCCCGCCTGCCCCCGATTGTCCCCAGCTCCCACCTGCCCACAGCCCCCACCTGCCCCCAGCCCCTGCCTGCCCCCAGTTTGGTGCCCTGCCTGCCCCCAGTTTGGTGCCCTGCCTGCCCCCAGCTTTGGTGTCCAGTTTCCATCTGCTGGTTGCTAGTCTGGCTACTGATTGCATCAGGTTCCCAGGTCCCTGCACAAGGTGATGATGGTGATGATGGTGATGGTCATCCTAGTGATGGTGGAGGTGATGATGGTGGTGATGGTGATGGTGGTGATGGTCATAATGATCACGGTCATGGTGCGGGTGATGGTAATGGTTATGTTGGTGACTGATGGTGATGGTCATGGTTTCAGTGGTGATAATGGTGATGGGGTGATGATAGCGATGATGGTGGTGCTGATATGGTGTTGATGGTGATGGTGGTGATGATCATGCCAATGATACTGGTGATAACGATGATGGTGGTGGTGGTGATGGTGGTGATGACGGTGACAATCATGATGATGATGGCGATGATGATGGTGACAGTGGCAGTGATGATGGCTGATGAATGGAATTCACCATATGCCATGTGAACCCTGGCTCATGTCCTTTGCATATATTAATTAATTTTTTAACGTTTTATTTCTGTTGTAGTTGGACATAATACCTATTTTTTATTAATTTATTTCTATGTGGTGCTGAGGATCAAACCCAGGCCTCACATGTGCTAGGTGAGAAAGAACTCTACTGCGGAGCCACAACCCAGCCTCATGTATTAGTTAATCTAATTCTCATAATTACCCTGTGAGAATTATCATCATCTCCATTTTAGACGAGGAAACTTAGGCCCAAAGAGTGGACCTCCTGTGTTCGATCTCAAGAGCTCATTCTGGGAGCTGAGCTCAGAAGAGTTGAACATGAAAGGTTTGTTTCTTTGGAGGCAGTAACCCTAAGTGTGAAAACTTGTTTTTCACTCGTTTGAAACTAAAGGTCAGCGGTCTCCTTGCCTCTTCTCTCTTTCTTCCCTCCTTGTTTATGTGTTTATTTTCAGACATTCAAGCCTCCCTTTTCACTTATGGTCTGAAAAATATCTGTCCCCTTTGAGGTGTTTGCGCCCCCTGGAGACCTGGCAGCCATCCAGAGCCGGTGCTGCTGGCCTGCCCAGGTGAACCAGGGTCCACGTTCTCAGAGCGGCAGTGAGAAACCCTTGAGCCGTGCACTGTTTACGTTGTTGCTTTACCTTGTTTATTGCACCTAGAGCCACAAACATAAAACGGAAAGCAGTCGAGCCAGGGGATGCGTTCTGGGCTTGCCGCATGTGCTGATGGGTGAGGCACTATCTGATGGACGAAGGAGTCTCCCAGCGTAGAATCACCCCACCGTGGAGCTGGGTGGGGCAGGTAGGTGCCGTCCTGGGCCCCAGCTGGGCCGATGCAGGGCCAGGCTCTCCCCAGGCCCCTGGTCCTTCATGGAGGGCACTGTGCTAGATGCCAAGGGTCACAGGGGGAGGGAACTGGAGCAGGGGAGGTTGGGGGCAGCTGCAGGGTCACAGAGGACACTCCATGACAGGTCCAGAGAGACCATTCAGTTTGTGTCCACTTCCCTGAGCGTACAAAAGGGGTCATGCCTCCCTCTCCACTTGGCTGTGGCCAGGCCAGGTTTCTGGACACCAGGCTGGCAGCAGGCTGGCCTCCACCTGGGGTCTCGGGTGGTCAGGAGTGGGAGTGGGCTCTCTCTTCTGTACCCTTCCTGGTGCAGCATGGAGCCCGCTCCCTGGTGATTGTGTGCAACAGAGACCTGTGGGCTCTCCGCACAGAAGGTGTGGCTCCGAAGTGGACACCGGTATGGAGGCCCTGAGGGGTCAGGCCGAGAACCGCAGCACGGCCTCTGGTCCCAGCTGGTCTGTAGGGCAGGGGCACAGTGCTGGGGGCACTGACCCAGGGAGGGCACAGGTTTCCCTGGACGTGGGAGGTCACCTGAGTGCTGTGGAGTAGGCCAGGTGGCCAGGAGAGGAAGGGCATTTGGGGCGGGGACAGCACATGTGAGGGCTGAGGGAGGGCAGGCTTGGCATGAAAGACAGGCGCCCAGCAGGAGGGACGGCAGCTTCGTGCCACCCAGGCAGGGAACTGGGCCTGGAACGTCTTGTCGAGGGGACTGGACTTGGTCAAGCAGTCAGGAGAGTCACTGTGCTAAGCAGGGGCCGTGCGGTCACTTTGCCTGTTAGAGAATTACGTTGTTAAGGTTTGGATATGAGGCGTCCCCCAAGTGGTCCCCTGTCAGTGCAGGAATGTTGGATTATGAGAGCTGGGACCTGATCGGCCCAACCCAGTGTAGCTGGACAGGTTGGGTCATCACTCTAGGCGGTAGGGGGTGGCTGTGGTGGTGGGGCGTGGCCGTGGTGGGGCGTGGCCGTGGTGGGGGGTGGCTGTGGTGGTGGGGCGTGGCCGCGGTGGTGGAGCGTGGCTGTGGTGGGGCGTGGCCGTGGTGGGGCGTGGCTGTGGAGGTGGGCGTGGCCTGGAAGGGTGCATCTGCCCTGTGGCCCCGCCCCCTCCTCCCTGCTTCCTGGCTGCGGGGGGCTGAGCCGCTGTCCTCTGCAGCCCCCAGGATGTGCTGCCTCACCTCGGGCCCAGAGCATGGAGTCAGCCTTGGATGGACTGAGGCCTCTGAAACCCTGAGCCCCAATAAACTTTCCCTCCTCAGAGTTGCTCTTGTGGGGTCTTCTGGTCACAGCGGTGCTAAAGCCGTCTAAAACACTGGCTCCAGAGTGGCCTGGAGACTGGGTGGCAGAGACCCATTTCATGTCCCCACATCCACACATTCGTTCCACTAATGGGGACTGAGGACCTGACACAGGCCAGGCTCTGCCCTAGGCAGGCAGGCAGGCAGCCACGAGCAAACTGTGGCCTCCCACGGGTGGAGCCACGTGGAGAACAAAGCTGGGTTGGGTCAGGCGCACGGGGCGTCGGGCCGCGCTCCTGTGCACACGGGGTGCGCATCAATGTTTTGGGCAACCTGTGTTCTATAGAAAATCTGGCAGCATGTCCAGGGACGTGTCACCGAGGAGAGGGGACACCATAAGTGCACCTCAAATCCTGAGCAGCACCAGCCTTGGACACAAGCAAGTGGAGGAAGGGCTCCAGGCCTGGGACGTCACAGGTCCGCGGCAGCCCCAGACGTCACCCACGCTCGCCAGGCAGGGGCCATTCCAGCTGTGCACATGTGACCCTGTGACAGTTTTAGTTGTTTTGCATTCTAAGAAAGATTTATAGAACCCACACTGCTAGTTAGTGCTTAGGGTAAAGATGAGTAAAAACAGGAGAAGGAGTCAGCTCAGGCTGACTCCAAGAAAACACCCCCCGGGGAGAAGGGTGACCAGAGATGGCCAGGGCGCCTGTCACACACAGGTGGCGAGAGGGGCCGAGAGAGTCACCAAGGCCAGCCCCTGTCACGCAGCCCTCCTCTGCACCCGTGAAGCTGCCAAGCAGAGTCTCTAAGGAGCCGGGTGGCGCCCCGCTGTCCAGTCAGAAGCCTCCTCAGAACACGTGGTGCGGGGCCTCTGAGGAATGCCCACCACCGTGGGTGCCAGGAAAACCAACAAGGAAAACGACCTGCGGGTGCAGGGGCCCACCCTGCAGAGCGCGGCTCCCAGAGGAGCCACACAGGTGGCGGGTGGGCGTTCTCCAAACCGGAGCCTGCAGGACCGGCATGGAGTGCCCATCTGGGCGGGAGGTCCGTGATGTCCACGGAGGGCCAGCTCCACCTGCATGTCCCACCCCTGTCCCGCCACCCCAGGAGCTCACTGCGCTGTGTGCCTGCGGCTGCCCTCTTGCCCTGGCCCCACCCTGGGCACGGAGCCACAGAGGGTACGGAAGTCATCGGCCTGCAGTGTTTATTTTCGGCCTTTTCCACGGCCCGCCAGCCAGCTATCAAGCTGGACACATTTTGCTTTTTTTTAACTCAACCTGGTTCATGGCTCCAGTGATGAGCCGGGACCCAGGGGACGCTCGTATCTGCGTTGACACAGGAGCGCCAACTGTGTCTCTTTGATCCAAGATAAAAATGGTTTTCAAACAAGGGGAAAGCACCATGCAAAACAGGCGGGTCCCCAAGGCAGAGGTGCGGGACGTGGGGGGGGGGCTGGCCTTGGGGGGTCTCGTTGTCACAGCTGGCCACACCTGGAACGCCCTCCCCGTCTGTTTCCGCTGAGATTCGAGATGGAGTGGCCGAGTCTCCTGGGTGCGGGTGCTAGGCCCACGTGATGGAGGTTCAGGCTGGCCCTGTTGCCAGCCTGTCATGGTGGACAGCTCGGTATTTACCCCTTCATCCCTTGTCAGCTGCCAGCTCTTCAGTGACAGCACCTGTGCCCGTTATATGCCTATTTCTGGGGATATAACAGAATGTGAAGGATCCACCCTTGTCCACCCAGAGCTTCCAAGTCCGAATGAGCCACAGAAGGTCTGAGAGTAAGGGTGGTCTGGCTGCTCCCCACATCCTGTACCCCCTGCAGGGCCATGTTTCCTCACCAGACCCTTAAGCGTCAGGGTCCCTGGGACCTACTCCTGGGCTCTCTTCTGGCTGCCCATCAGCCCCTGGCACTCACTGTTGGTATCTGCCCATCTGAGAGCCATGGCTTGCCTGCAACACAGCACCCCACTCCCTGGGCCGAGCAGGTGTCCTTGGCAGAGGGAGTGGTGACCTGTGTCCAGCACAGCTTCTGACTCAGGTGGGCGGGGCCCGAGATTCCACACCTTCTGCAAGTTCCCAGGCAATGCTGCTGCTCCCCAAAACACAGAGCCACCAAGGTTCCCTGGCCCTGGGGAGAAGGCAGCTCCCTCGGAGGCCCGGGAGTTAGCAGGTGGGTGAGTACTTGCATTTCTGTCAGCAGGAAAACTACCTGCTGTCCAGTTAGCCAACACGACCCGCAAGACCGGTATCCCGCGGCAATAACTGATACCCACGTGGTCATAACTGAAGTGCCCACTCTTCTCAATGACATCTATTACCAAAATGACCACATGGACAGCAGGAGGGTGTTTTTGAAGCTGGTAGTGACTGCTTAGCTGGAGACTTCTCAGGTCACTCCATAGTGATCCTGTCCAGCTGGCCAAGGGGTGACGTCCTCCAGGTCCAGTGGTAGGCTGGCCACCCCTGCCGGTGGCTGGCAGTAGAACTGCACCTGGACCCAGCAGGTGTCTCTGCCTGTTGGTGAAGCAGGGTGGGGGCAGCTGGACGAGGCACTTGGAGCCTGGCTCCTCCCACTGGACACTGTCCCAGGAAGCCTCCTGGGCGGCCTTGCCCTGGACACTGACCAGCTACTGCTATGCTCATTCCCCTGGATCTAAGCTCTGGGAGCCACAGCTGTGTAAAAACAGGCAATTTCACCTTGAACTCCTGGATTTTCTTGAAATGCAGGAAGATGGGCCCCAGGTGGGATTCGTGGTGGTCTCTGGCCTCGGCTGAGGGTGGTCTCCTGCTGCAGGCAGGCAGGCTCCCCAACACGGGTTGTTTGATGGTGTCACTGAGACGCGAGTGCAGAAGCCTCCTGTGAGTTCTATTCTAGGCATTGAGGAAGGGGACAGAGGGGAGGGGAGAGAGAGGCAGGCAGGGAGGAAGGGAGGATGGGACTCCTTCAGAGGGCCGCGGTCCTCAGTCTCACTCAGGGGACTTGGACCTGGAGGTGAAACCAGAGGCCCAACCCTTCCCATGCCCCGGCCACCCAGGAGGGACACGCATCCCCCGGGCTCATGCGCATCTGCTGTTTACGCATACATCTTTCTCACACAGCACGGGCCCTCCAAGATCACCAGGGACATTCCCAGGATGGATGGCGGAGGCGGCGGGAGGCAGGGTCCCTTGAACTGCTCTCTCAAGGGTAGTTCTCTCTGTGCTCTTGCATGGAGGCTTCTAGGCCGGCCTTATGGCTCACCTCCCAGGGAAGAGGCGACACTCTCCCGTGTCCAGCGTGTCCAGCGGTAGGGGTTCTTCCAGGTAGCACCGGCTGAAATCCTGACCGTGCCCAGCCCTCCCCGCGCATCCCAGCAGCCAAAGTCAGGAAGTTCCTTCCCCAGAGGGGCCAGGATCCGACCGAGCTGCAGGGATCAGTACCCCCACATGGAGTGGCAACACACCCACCAAGCTGCCCTGTCCCCGCCCTGTCCCTGTCCCAGGAATCCAGACCAGCTGGCCTCCAGGAGGAGGGAAGCCATTGTACCAGCCTCTCTGCTCATGGGGTGCCAAGCTCCCCTGGAGGGGAGGGGAGGTCCACTCTGTCACAACCAAATGGTTCTAGCAGCCTAAATGTCACTCACTGTCCCCTGATGAGAACAAATAAACAGCTCGGGCGGGCAGGCGTGGGGGAGGGGCAGCACTGTACCTGGAGAGCACGGGGCTGACCCAGAGCTTCCCACGCTGGCACACACACTGTCCACACACCGCAGGCCCTCCCCAGGCGTCCTCCTTGACTCCCTGACGCACAGCGCACAGGAGCCCAGGGCTGGGAACACGCCTGGACAGGGGCATTTGCACTAAGTGCCGTGAACTGTGTGTTTTGAAATGGTTAAATTTTTGCTACACGAATCTCCCTTCCGCTGTTTAAAAGGCAACAAGAGGCCTTGCCCACCAGGTGGACACAAGCATCTTCACGGGACAGGGACCGTGTGCTGAGGCGGCTCTCACAGGGAGGCAGCGTGAGGGCCCGGGGCCCAGGGCCCGGGGCTGTAGGCCCTGACTGTCCAGGGGAGCAGGCGCATCATCATCTGGGTCTTCCTGCTGCCTGTGGGTGCTGAGGTCAGGGAGGTGGGACAGCCAAGCCCAGCCAGTGGACCAGCCGGAGCCCCTTGTCTGTTGTGCAATCCATGAGGCCTATGATTGTCCTCCCACCCCACCCCACCCTGCCCGTCTCCTGATCAGGGCTCACTGAGCAGCTGCCCCCTTGATTTGGGCATCCTGGTCAGCTGGCCCAGTTGGCTGTACGGCGCTAGAGGACGCCCCTCCAGCAGCCCAGTGTGAGCACAGCTGGGCAGGGCTGCTCAGCCAGCTACTGAGAACTTGGGGAGGATGCCCCGGGCCACGGCATCAGCTGTCGGGTTCGTGGCGGGGAGGGGCGTGCGGGAGCCGTTGTCTGGTGGCAGGAGCCCCAGGTCCACCTCGCTGCCCGTGCACAGCTGTGCCCTTCTCGGCCCTTTGGTGCTGTCTGCAGGTGAGCACTTCAAGGCAGAGGTGCAGCTGTGACTCGGTCACATGGCCTCCACCCCCTGGAACCCAGAGCGTGGGAGGCAGGCAGAGGCTGGCAGACACAGGAGGACTGGGCTGGTTTAGGGGACGGCGCTGGAGCAGCTGAGGCCCCCCGGACGCTGGCCATCTCCACTCAACCGCCGGACAAGGGCCACTCATTCCTCTGCAAAGGCTGGGTCACTCTGCCTGTGGCCGGCGCTGAGCCACACGGGTGCCTCCTAGGGGCTTGCCGGGCCTGGGAAGTGGCACCAGACTCAGGAGGGAGGTTCGGGCAGAAGGCTGAGGTCAGCACCATTTGGAAAGATTCACTGCCAAGCCTGTGAGCAGGGAACCGGCAGAGGGGTGCCTCCCCCGCCCCCCCCCCAAGTTCTCTTTCCTTCATGTACGCCGTCAGCGAACGTCCAAGGAGCAGGCATTCCCACATGTCCTGCCGAGGGCCCCAGATGAATGGCATATGCGCCAGGGCCGCTGGCCTCAGGGAGTGACAGGAACACAGGCAGGCTGCCTCCGCCTCCTCCCCAGCCCACTCCTCAGCAGGGCTGCATGGCCCGGGCCTCTCCAGGGGCCCGCACCTGGCCAGCAGGGGAGGCTGCTCCTGCGCCCTCGCCACCTGGTGAGGGCCCAGCGGCCCCTGAAACAGTGACCACCCTGGGCACAGGAGTCTCCCAGCTGCCAGGAAGGACGCCCCCAGGATGTGGGGACCCCTGCGCCCTCAGCCAATGGCTCTTCCTCAGAAGGTCACTTTTCCTGACTTGTGCTGACCGCGACCTTCTTTCCCCGCTGGTTGAGGCCCTGAAAGAGCAGGAGGGACGCCCGGGACGCAGACTGGCCTGCCGCCGCCCTCTCCCGGGCCCTCTGGAGAGCCGCCTCTGGCCAGGCTCGGGGCTGCCCACACCTGGTGGACCCTGCTGGCCTTGGGGGTGACCACAGACAACAGTGCTCATCATTTGACCTCAGTGAAGTGTAAGTAGGAAAGGTACACAGGCTGCCTGTCCCCGGTCCTGCTGTGACATCCCTTGTCGGCTGCTGACCTGGGACTAAGGTACTTGGTATGATGCCACCAGTCACTGTGCAGCCCTTGGCAATTGGGTGCCCTCTCTGGGCCTCTGTCTTCTAAACAGAATGAGAGACAATCTCGTCCAGAGCCCTGGTCAACAGTGCCACCAGAGGCCTGTCCTCACACTGCCAGTGGGGGTGTCGCTTGGGCCTGGGGAGGGAAGCACCCGGGGGGGGGGGCTGGGAACCTGGGGGTGAGCTGGGGAGGGCGGGAGGACGGAGGGGTGGGAGGAGGCTAGGAGCCTCCAGCAGGAGAGGCCGAAGGAGCACGGGCGGCGGCTCTAGAAGCCCGGGCTGCAGCGCCACCCACCCCGAGTCTCAGCTGGCCAGTGGGGACCCTTGGAGTGAAGGTGGCCCCAGGCTGTGCCCCCAGGAGGCACATAGCCTTGGTTTTCAGCAGAGGCAGGTCCTGAAGGCTCCAGGCAGGAAGCCCCTCCTGGCTGTCCCTGGTCGTAACTGACTGGCAGTTGCTTTGGGCAGCGAGGCGGCCAGCATGGCTGGAGGACACAGTGGACTAAACCCCTTGCCTCATACCTGGGAAGCAAGAAGAGACAGGGGTCTTACCAGCCCCCTGGAGGGCATGACCCCCTGACCTGAGACCCAACAGGACTGCCTCCCGTCTGCTCCAAGCTGGGACCACACCTCTAACACGTGGGCCTCTGGGGACACTGTCCCCACCGCAGCCCGGGGAGGTGCTCACAGTTGTCCTGCTGGAAGGGTTAATCGCTGCTTCCTCTCCAGCCAGCTCTGCGCTCAGCTTCCCTCAACAGGAGCCAACGGCCCGAGGACTCGGAACCACAGTCCTCCCTGTGGATGGGCCCTTCTGGGGGCTCAGGAGGGCCAGGGACAAGCCGCAGGCCAGGCTGCTGTCCATGGCGCCTCCAGCAGGAGCAGGTCTCCCCCTTCCTTTTGAACCCCGCAGGCTCACGTGGAGAAACAGCTCTCAGGGTGTGTGGAGCCGAGACGCTGCTTGCTCCTGCACCTGGGTGCAGCGGCCCTGGCCCTGGCCAGGGTGTGCTCCGTCCTGCGCCCCACACCCAGCAAGGGGGGACCCGCTCTTTACCCAAGCCCAGGGCTTTGGAGAGTGAGCCCATGTCCTGAGGGTTCCAGACCCCTCCAGGTTAACCTCGAAGGCTCCATCTAAATGCCAGATCCTGAGATGTGAGCCCCAACCCCGGCCCCAGACTCTCTCCCTCCCTGTCTGTCTCTGTCTGTCTGTCCCTCCCTCTGCCTCTCTCCCTGTCTCTACTTCTCAGTCTCCCCCCCGCCTCTCCCTGTCTCTCAGGAATTCACACGTATCCACACTCCTCTCTCACACTCACTCACACTCAGACAACAAAGGCCACTGTCTCTGACTGGCCACGGGTTTCCCCTAATTCCCTAGAACCTTCCCCTTTATTTCCTGTCCTTGGGAAAGGGAAATGTCTAAATCCTTCAGGGGTTTCTCATTAAGATCCTGACAAATGAGAGGGAGAGGACTCAAAGCCCACCACATCACCAAATATGGGATAAAAATGTGCCGCCCCCCTGCACGGCCATAAGTCATGGCCACAGAGCCACCTAGGGCCCCAGAGAGCCGTTCCTCACAGGCCGGCCTCACCCAGCTCCCCACAACGCCACGCTGGCCGGTGTGGCCACACAGGCTCCCCAGAGAAACCCAAGACACAGGCGGGTTAACCTTCCAAACAATACCCGGCTTTCTTTCAAGCGGCCTGCCCGGCCAGTCGCCCTGCATGGGCCTGATTGACAGGGCCCCTGGGACCCGCGGGGTGAGGCCTCTGCCAGGGCTCTGGCCTTTTCTGGGGCTCAGTGGCCCCAGCAGATCCTCTGTATGGCCCAGTGGGAAGCCATCTTTCAGCTCTCCCTGTCAAGAGTTCCTGCCTCCTGCGCGGGACCCCAGCACGGGGCCGGGAGCACCACAGCCTGCCCCTGTGTGGCCTGCGGAAAGCCGTGGTGTTCCCATCGGGCGCACACTGCTGCTGGACAGTCCCTCTCCCTCACCCCCAGCTCCACACGGCCTGAGGGGCAGCTCCGAGCCCTGGGAAGGGAGCCGGGCTGTGCCCCGCCCCCAGCCTTGCCCCTGGGCCACAACGGTCATCGCAGATCACTGTGAGAAATGAGCCCTGTGATCTACGCAGTTGGTGGACCACAGCTGGGGCCTTGTGTCTCCCCGGAGCTGTCTGCTGTCCAGCCAGGAGCCCTCCGTGGGGTGTCCCACAGCTCTGGAGTGGGAAGTGGCCCCTGAGCACCCACTGGTGTCTATGTGAGGCCTCACCGGGGGCACAGTCATGGGGGGGCTGCTCTTCATGCCATCCCACGGGGGAAACCGAGGCTAGAGGGGCAAAGTCCCTGGGGCTCTCAGCCCCTTTGCTCTCTAAAGATCTGTGCTCACTCCTTCCACCCTGCCTCTCTGGGCCCACTGGCCACCCTCCCATCTTTAGACACACCCACTTACTGGCCGCAGGGCCTTTATACTCACTGCTGGGTGTGCTGCCTAGCTCATTCCTTTCAAGCAGGTCCTCAGCAAGGCCTCCCTGACCCACTGAGCCATGCACAGCTGCAGCTGCTGGGCAGTGTCTCCTCAGCCTGCTGAGCTTTCAGGAGAGTCTGATGTCTCCGTCAAGGCCAAGCGGCTCTGCACATGGGTTCCGGTGTCTCCGCGACCAGGGTACAGGTCTCCAGAAGGTGGGAATCTGCAGGTCCTTCTCCACCGTGTGTTCCCAGGAGCAGGACAGAGCCAGGCACAAGGCCACGCTCAGTGAGGAGTTGATGGACAAGTGTGGGGCAGGCAGGAAGCCTGTCGCCTGGCGCCACGTGCACATGGCTTCAGCCACCCTTCCGCTTACAGGGCTGCCCTTCACTGCCCTGCTCACCCCAGGACCCCACTGCCCCACACCAGGTTACAGTGGGCCTGGGGCCTCCCCATGGCTTAGGGCACAGGCACAGGACTCGAGCTGGCCAGGCGGAAGTCAGATCCTCTCCGGGGGAATTCGGAACTGGAACCAGGAGAGAAGCAAGCCCTTCTCTAACCCAGCTCTGGGGCGAGGTGCGGAGGAAATGGGGGGGAGGGTAACAGAGAAGAAGGAGGGAGGTGGGAGGGGAAAGAGAAAGAGCAAGAGAGAGACGAAAGAGAAGGAGGGAGGGAGGGA